CAGGCCATGCTGAGGGACCCCACCGGTGCACGAATTCGTGCACCGGGCCTCTAGTTCAATCATAAGACAACTGTTGAACAACCATTTTTTTCTACTTAAAAAACGTATTTTATTACCTTCTCTATTCCCTTAGCTCCCTCTGAGATCAATACCATGAGGAAAATTCTATTAAAAAATATAAAATGCAATAGGTAAAATGATTTTTAGATACAGCAATGAGAAGCAGCATCATGGGAGAAGTAACACTTGAAATACTATTAAAACTATAACACTAATAACCACTACCACTTGGCAGAAGACCTGCTATATAACAGGCATTGAGCTTTCCCTTGATCTCACCAATCCTAACATCAATACTTTGAGGTATTTGTTATTTTTCTCATCTTACAGATATGGAAACTGAAGCTCAGAGGAGTTAACTCATTTGCTCTGGGTCATACAGCACACAAGTGTCAGAGCTGGATTCACCACTGATGTCCACAGTGGGTAGATTTTTCATAGGTAGAAATAGAGAAAAGGAGATAGAAGCTCTGATTAGCACCCCCCAAAATGAAATATGTAGGTATAAATCTAACAAAATATGTGCAAAATTTATATAAAAAGCACAAAATGCAATGGGTAAAATGATTTTTAGATACAGCAATGAGAAAAACTACAAAACTCTGATGAAAGATATCAAACACTGACAGAAGGTATTTACATCAAATAAATGGAGAGATAGTCCATGTTCATGAATAGGAAGACTCAATATGGTCAAGATGTCAGTTCTTCCCAACTTCATCTATAGAGCTGATTTAACTCCAGTCAAAATCACAGCAAGTATTTATGGATATTGACAAACTGCTTCTAAAGTTTATATGGGGAGGCCAAAAATCTGGAATAGCCAACACAATATTGACCAAGAATAACAAAGTCAGAGAACTGATAGTACCAAATGTCAAGACTTACACTAAAGCTACAGTAATCAAGACAATGTAGTACTGGCAAAAGGACAGATAACTAGATCAATAGAACAGAATAGAGAGCCCAGTAACAGACCCATATAAATGCAGTCAACTCATCTTTGACAAAGGAACAGGTAGTCTTTTTGACAAATGGTGCTTGAACAACTGGACAAAAAAATGCATCTAGACACAGACCTTATACCCTTCATAGGACTAGAGGGGAGGGGACAGGAGAGGCCTGAGGAAAAGGAAATTGGATAACTGTTTAAAACACATTGCAATTAATATGCAAATGGCCCTTGCATAATGAGATTAATATAAGATGAGCACAAGGAAAGCTGGGCCACTTGAAGGCAGGCGCATACATCCCAGCGCCAACTTAGAAGAGGAAGGTGTGGTCTCCAGTCTCCGTTCAGCCCCAAAGGACCCTCATAGCTGACCCCAAGTTACCCGGATACTCCCAGGCATCAATGAAAACATTCAAGACAGAGCCACCTAAGGTCACTGAGCTCTCACCTGGGCCAAAAGGCAGAAGCAATGAATCCACTAGGAAATGTTTGCAACTGGGGAGCCCTGTGCCTAATTCCTGTAATCTTGTTCCAGAAGGGGGAAGGCCTCAATGCTGGGCTTGTGGGCTTTCTCCTGGGGGCTAGGAGGATGGACAATGACTGGATGGGCAGGTTCCAGGGTGGGAACCAGGAAAATAATGTGCTTGTATTCTGCAAAGCAATTTCCTGAGGCAGTTATGAACTTCAGGTCTGGGTGGAGGACAAATGCCAGTGTGAGATTCGGAGTGGGAAATAACAGAGCAGGACACCCCTAAGGCCCTCTCCCAGGAACCTGAGCAGATGGGGGTACCATGAGGAAGGAGGGAGTAGAGAAAAGGGAGGCCAGTTCCAGACCTGATGGGAACAGAATTTCAGAGCTTTCTGGATGAGGGGCAGCGTGAGGACAGGCTCACCAGTGGGTCACTAGGTTCAGAATGGTTGTTTGAAGTGATGGCTGGTGCCCTTTTCGGGGGGAGCTGAGGGTACCCGGGTTTACCTCTCAGTGAAAGACACTTAGTGTCTCATAGTCAGGGTGTCCTCTCCATCACTTCCCATTCCTGGGCCTCAGTTTCCTCATTTCTAAATGAGACATTTGGATTCGATGACTGGACAATCTGTCTTCCAACTATAAGTTCTGTCTGACAAGACACAGGAAGCTCTTGTCTTCAGGAACTTAGCGTTGAAATAAGGAGGCTCAGACAGAGCACCCCAGTGTGGGAATGTATTGCTTAGACAGCAAATGTAGAGAGAAGGAGCTGAGCTGGGGAAGCTGGCTGATGCTTGGGGAAGCTCAGAGCTATAGGCTGGGGGACCGGGCTGAGCGGAACCGAAGCCTCTGATCAGACCCAGGTCAGACACTGGCTGTGGTGGTGACTCCAGACCCACAGCCGCCCAGGTCTCTCCCCATTCTCACAGTGGCACCTGGGACCCAGGTCAGGAGCTGCAGCCTCAGAGACCCCGCTCCTTTTAAGCTCAGCAGCTCCCCTGCCTCTTTGGGCCACTGAGACGCTAACCTGCGGGCCCTGAGAGGCGGCTCAGCCAGCATCTTGAACTCATTTTCCAGCACGAGGGGGCCTGGTTTTATGTCACAGTCCAAGGCACGTGTTTACTCAGCTTCTCTGCTCCCCAGCCCAAGGAAAGATAACTGAACTTGATGGATAACCACTAATTGGATCATTACCTTCATTTCGAAATGATTGCCCCTAGCCCCTGGGGGCATTAGTTCCGAGCTGGGGCCCCCAATCCGGCCCAACACAGGCTGCGGGCAGAGGACAGCTCCATCAGCTCAGGCCCAGCAGTACTGCGACTCCACGAGGGCTCACAGCTGTGCTCCTGCCAAACTGTACCTTCCAAACAGCCCCTCCCCAATCCCTCCCGGACGCCATGTGCCCAGCCAGTCCTGGTGTACCTTACTCCCGCTGACACCCCCCCTCCCCCCCCAAGTGCCCTCTCGTCCTTGTTCCCAGTGGGACCGGGAACACCAGCTCCCACACCCCTCCTCTCTGCCTGTCTGAGGCCCCCCTCCCTGGGTGCACCCCCTCCCCACTGCACACAGTTTACTTCCCCAGATGGAGAACAGGGTCCTCCAGGCAGGCTCACCTCCCTTCTCTCAGGCCCTTCTGTGTTGCCGGCACTGGGCTGGGCACACTGCAGTGGCTTGTGGGTTGATTGATGTTATGGGGCAGGAGGAACAGGCAGGAAGGGAGGGCGATTGATTCCAGCTGAGGCAGGAGGGAGGCGGGGCAGACGGAGGGTAATGGATGCCAGGATGGTGGGGGCAGGAGGGTCAGTAGCTAGAAGGAGCCCCCACCCCTCTGCCCTGGTGGCTCAGACCTGCAAGCCTGGGTTAAAAAACGTCATTTACAGAAGAAATCCCTCTGAGAGTGATTAAATAAATGACCATAACTCCTGGGATGAAATATGACAGCCATTAAAAATGCTTTGAAGAATATTTCATGATGTAGGGAAACGTTCCGACCCAATGAATGAAGAAACCAAGTCACAAAAGATAATGTACAATATGATTCCATTAAAAAAAAATGTTAAAACACACATAGAGGGTAACGGTAGCGGACATGGACCTGCATGGTGCTACGGGCTTCCCATGGTCATTTCCTGCAGTCTTCCTATCAGCCCTAGGAGCTAGGTTCTGGCTCATTTCATGTACCCTCATTTTACATAGACGTGGAAACCGAGGCACAGACATGAAGGACCTGCTCCCACGTCCTATCTCGAAGCCTTTAGGGTTCTGAGTTCCTTATGGTGCCTGGAGTGTCCTCCCACAGGGGAACCGGGGCAAAACCGTGTAAAGCCATGTTCTGTGGAGATGTGTTGGAGGTGTGTCATGTGGAAAAGGGTCGGCTGTGCGTGGTGTGTCCCAGGCTGGAGACAGGGAGGCCCACTGTGGCTGACAAGGAGGAGGAAGGCTTCCTAGTTGCTGCTGGGCAGGGAGGAAGCCTGCATCCCCGGGAGTAACCAAGAATGAGCTGGGGAGGGGTTTCACATCAGGGAGACCTCTGAGGACTTCTTTTTTTATTTTTTAAAATGTATCTTTATTGTTGAACATATGACAGATGTACCATTTTTTCTCTCCATTGACCCCCCTCCACTCCACACCCATCTGCCCTGAGGATTTCTAATGTTCACAGTCTATGAGCTAGCTGGGGAGAAAAACCCAGGGCTTTCCCTGGCCCGGTGCTGGGCAGAGAATCCAGGGGCTCAGGAGCTGCTTTTCACCCCTATTATGGGCTGATTTTTGGGGTCCTCCAAATAAGTATGTTGAAAACCTACCCCCTCATGTGATGGTATTAGGAGATGGGGGGGCCTTTGGGAGATGATTTGAATTAGATGAGGGCTTGAGGGTGGGGACCTCATGAATGGGATTAATGTCCTTATAAGAGTCAGGAGAGCCAGACCCGTGTGGCTCAGTGGTTGAGCAACAGCCTATGAATCAGGAGGTCATGGTTTGATTCCCTGTCAGGGCACTTGCCTGGATTCGCTTGGTCCCCAATAGGGGGCGTGCATGAGGCAGCTAATCAATGATTCTCTCTCATCATTGATGTTTCTATCTCTCTCTCCCTCTCCCTTCCTCTCTGAAATCAAATATATATATATATATATATATATATATATATATATATATATATATATAGTGAGAAATAAATTTCTGTGCCATGAAGATGAAAAAGGTTGAAAATCACTGCCCCAATCCCATGGCTGGGGTCCTTCTAAGAAGAGAAAATGTAGACAGAGTCAGAGACACTGGGAGAACGCCATGTGAATTTGGAGGCAGCGATTGGAGTGATACCTCCACAAACCAAAGAAGGCTACAAATCCCGGGGGGAGGGACACAGAGCTGCTTCTCACTTCGAACACCCCGAAGGAAGCAACCCCTTCCCCCCCCCCACTCCCGCCCATGCTAATACCTGGATTTCGGATTTCTAACATCTTGGACTGCAAGAAAATAAATTTCTGCTGTTTAATCGCCATTTGTTACAGCCGCCCCAGGAAAAGAGTAGTTTCTTACATGTCAATTCAAGCCCAGAGTGCCCCCTTTTCCTCGCCTAAAACCAGCAGACTTCTTCAGAACCCACTTTCAGAATCCTCCTCTCTGGGGTCGGCCCAGATCTGGTTAGGAGGCTTATTGTATGAGTCCATCTGGCAGCTGCCTCAGGAGGCGATGGAGGCCAATAGGTGAGTGAACAGCTCATTCCTGGGGCCCCCAGAGAAGGCTCTGTGGAGAAGAGGCCTGAGAGAGAGAGAGAAGAAACTGGAGATGTAGGGTAAGTAGCTTCTTTGAGAGGGAACAGAGAGCAGTGCACGTAAAAGCACCTGGCATGATAAGGCGTGGTGTTTATTACATTGTAGGTGGTCACTTCATGGTAGCAAAGAAAGTGAAAGGATGCAAGCTGTCCTGGAAGCAGCTGAACCCAGGCAAGACCCACTGTAAATTTGCTAGATACAAGTGTTAGGCAAGAGCATTGTTAACTACATTGACTTGAGTGAATTGTCAAAGGCAGTGGGGGAAACCAAGCCTTTGGCCTCAAAAGTCATGGCTTCTGGCTTTGACTCTGCCGCTTCCTAGTTTTTGTGAAGTTGGGAAAAATCATTTCTCTCTCTGAACCTCAGGTTCCTAACTGTAAAATGGAGATGATAAATGTGCCTTAGCTTACACGGTTATACAGATGGAATGGCAACGAATTTGCAAGTGCTTTATAAACTGCAAAGCACAATATGAACATAAAATATTATCCATCTTATGATTGCCACCAGGCCAATCTCTTTACCGTCCTGTGAATGCCCCATACCCATTTGTGCCTCTGAGTTTTTGCTCATGGTCTCTTTGCCCACTTGCAAGTCCCTCTGTGTTGGTTAGGATTAGAGTTGGATACACGTAACAGAAGAGTCAAGGCAACAGAGGTATGTTTCTCTCTCATGTAATAGTCTGCCGGCTTCCCAGGGCTGGTGTGGGGGACTTAGGATCGTTGCATTTTGTTGCTCTGCTGTGTCTGGTTGCCATTTCCAAGGTCACTTTATGGCCCAAAGTAGCTGCTGGCACTCCAGCAGGCATCCACATTTCAGCAAGGAGGGGTCAAAGAGAGGGCAGGCTTCCTGTCTTTAAAGACACTCTCTAAAATTTGCATATGCCCCCTTTTTATATATCCTATTGGCCACAACTTAATCCCATGGGCACATCTATCTTCCAGAGGAACTGAAAAATGTGTTTTATTCTAGGTGGTCATGCGCCCAGCTGAAACTCAGGGTTTTATTATCATTGAAGAATAGAGGGGAATATTTAGGAAGAACTAGCATCTCTACCATTCCACTCATTTCTCCTCCATGGACTCGTATTCCATTCTTTGAGATCAAGTCAAGCTTATCTGCAAAATAAGGGGTTTGGATCATTAGGAAGGTACCTAGCTAGTCCATAGGCAGGCAGCGAGCTAAAGGCTTTGACGTGAATCATCTCATTTACCCTGCAGTGCAGCTGTGGGGGAGGCGCTATCATTGCCTCTTATAGATGAGGATGCGGATTGTGGCTCAGAGAGCTGTGCAATGTCCTAGTTTAGGTTTCCTGGGACACAAACTCTGAGGTGGAGAGCAGCAGTTAGTGGGCAGGACAGGGATCAGAGAGCGCTCTGGGGGCTAACGCCCGTGCAAGAGAGGGAGGGGATGGAAGCAGGACTGGGCAGAAGGGAACGCTGGGCTGTGATGCAGTTTCAATAAAGCTCTCAGCTGGCTCCCAGGGACACTGGAGCTAGGATAGGCCTGCAGAGCTGTCCCAAGCCGGCGCTGGGGGGACAGGCCTGTAGACCCTAATGCTGGTCACTCACTGAACACAGGCTGTCCCAGGAAGAGGGCCTGGCATTGGGCAAATCGCTCTCTTCAGCTAAGCAACCCCGGAGGAGGCTGAGAGCTGAGGGCTCCCTGCTGGCAGCACCCCCAGCGGCTGCACCTGTAAGTCCTTCCTTCTTGAAGCAGGACCCTGGAGGGATCAGGGTTCCCCACATCAAGCCTCTTGCCTAAGCTCGCACGAAGCAGCAAGTGACAGAGACGGGACTAGCACCAGGACATGTGACTCCAGCAGCTGGGCTTTCGCAGTTAAACGATTTGCTCCAAGTCACAGCAACCAGGAAATGCCCACCACGCAAGCAGCCTCCTCTACATGCCGAAGCACTTTGTTCTATTGCCTCTTTAGGGTCTCTGTGGTACCTTCTTCTGGAAACTGTGCCTCCGTGTTTCCTATGTACCGTGCTCTCTTCTCTCTGAACAAACTCTGGCCGTTAACAGTGACAGATCAAGTCAGTCAGAGCAGTGCTTTACTGACGGGGTCTCCTGGGGGCTCAGCCCTCTGCTGGTGCAATCAGATTCCGAAGCCAGGATCCTGCCCAGCAGACGTGCAGCCTGCTTGGACAGCCAAGGCCACCACCCACGGAGGCGCTGGCGACTATGGCAGGAGAGATTGGCCGTGAGTGCTGCCCGTGAGCCCTGTCTGTCTGCTTTCAGAGGCCGGGAGGCCACCTGCTGGGTAGGAAGCCCTGTGCTCACGCCTCCTCTGCTCTCCTGCCCATCACAGCCTCCAGGAGGCTGGAGCCAGACTGTCACCCCTTGGACCCTGTCGGGTGCTCAGTACGTAGGAAATGGTTTCAGAACTTCAGGACTGGAGGGAGGCAGTCCCATTTCTCATCTCAGAGGTGAGGAAACAGAGGCACAGGAGGCAGCATGACCTGCCCAAGGTGACGGCCAGGTGGCAGAAGCATGGCCGGGCTGAGAACCGGTTTCCGACCCCTAGCCCAGTCGACCGCCCGAGCTGCCCCTGCTAAGGGAGGGCAGAGGCACCGATGCAGGCTTCAGGCTGGTCCCTGCCTTCTGGCATTCTCAGCAAAGCACTCAGGATCGTCACTGTCACAAGAGGAGACAAAACATCCGATCGGGAAGAGCAGGCCCCTGGAGACACCCCACAGAGCTCTATAGCTGATTGCCACCAGGCCCAGCGGCCTCCTTGCTCGTCCCAGGCGGCTGCTCCCAGAAAGGGGGTGGGGAGCAGAGACCACAAACGTTCTTTCTGTCTCGGGCTTAGCACCTGGGGCTGCAGACAAAGCCCCGTCGCTGGGAAGATTTAGGGGTGATTCTGTAGGAAGCCAGAGTGTAACAAGCTTCAGATCAATGGCTCACTACGCAGAAAGCTTCTGCCCACCACCCGAGAGAGGCTCCCTCACACGCTAACCCGCATCTTCCCCCTGAAACATCTTAGCCCCATGAAGCAATAAAACAGTCTGGCCTAAGTTACCGGACCTCTTTGAAGTCCTGGAGAGGCCCATAAATAAGGCAGGTCCCCGGGATGGGGGGCGTTCATTTCGAGGGATCCCCGTACAACTCTTTCAGAGTCTCATTGATTTGTAGCCACCTCTAAGTCAATTTCCTGGGGCTCATAAATCTTGATGGGAGCAAAACTAAAATGTCATCGATATTTATTTGATGCATTTCTTACCACTCCATAGGAGAGGAAGAAGGAAAAAAATGTCGGCATTCTCACCCGCCACCCCGGAGCAGGCATGGGACGCGGCCGATCCCCACGCCTCGAAGACCGCTCCGTCGTGAACCATAAACCCCGGGTAACAAATGTTCCATTTCATGGTCAGCAAGAGTGGTAACTGTCACTGGAGAAATAAAATTGAGTTATTGTTTCCAGTTTCAAAAGAACAGCAACAAGTATAAAAAAAAAAAAAAGAAACACAACTGTATGCGATCCCTGTCCTCTTCCCCTCAGACACCTGCAGCCATCTAATGTTTCACCGAATCCTGCCACATAAATGCATAGCTTCACTCACTAATCCATATGGCTCCAGAGACCACTGTTACATGAGAACTTAAACTGACGGGGCCAGGCAGCCCAGGGCAGCTTAATCTTTTTTAATTCAAATCGACTGAGTCCCATGTGGCCCGGAGATGATACCCTATATGCTGCAATCAGACTGACCTAGACTGCTCGTGCTCTAAATGATTAATGAAACTGCCTCGAGTTTGTTTCTATGGTGATTGGAAACCCGACCCGGACAGAGGAATCTGCCATTCACGGTGAACAGAACGGAAAGGGGGGCACTGGGGACCCAGCCGCTGGTGGTGGAGGGAAGATGCCCAAAGGCTTCGAGTTCCTCTCCCTGGCCTGACTCAGTGCAGGGAGGGGACAGGGAGAAAATGGCCCTCTTAGGGAAGTTTTAATGCAACCAAATTGCAGAATTGTTTTCCCCCCTCAAAGAATCTAAAACGTGTAAGTATTCCTAAAGCCACTGACTGAACAGTTGAGGGAAGATAGCATTTAACTCACCTTTGGTTTCTTAAAATAAGTACACGAGTAAATAAAAGAAAACCGTGAAATCCTGGATCCCTTCTTTAGAATGAATGGTTTTGTCCTGTGAGGAACATTACCAAACCAGCTCAGACCTCACATTACCTGTTTACTCTTAGGCCATGTGCAGCTTTGTTTCTGGTCCTCATAGGAAATGGGTCATATTTGGGCTTCGCCCGGCAGAACTTGCTGTCAGAACTGGCAGCGGCAGGCAGGGTGGGACTCCGGGGGAATTAGGTGCTGCTGGTAGAGAAGCATTGGGTATGAATGGTTAGTGCCAAAGGTCACTGGATGCCATCTGCCTGGGGGAACAGTTGGGTCCTATTTGAGGATGGAGCCCGTCCTAGCTTTCCTATTGGAGCCCCCACACCCTGCTCAGGCGCCCCAGCGTTACAAAATCCTGAACCTTTAAGAGGTCTAAAGCAGGGAACACCAAAGAACATACCCTGTGACTTAAACATCTAAGGCTTAACCAGTGTGGCTGTTGACTGAGGGAGAATGAGTATGAAGGTTGGTGGGGGCATTGCTTCCCTCCTGCCCACCTGCCTTTCTTCACATGGGCACTGGCCACCTCCTTAAACACACTGTCCCCTGCCTCTGAGCCTCTGATGGTCCATGTTCCCAAACTTGACTAAGACATGCAGGGTCCCCCAAGGTTTCTTCCCACCTCCCCATTCCAGCTCCATCTCCCATTCATCTCCGTCAACTGTTCTCTGTATGTCCTTCACGAACGTCCCATTCTCTGCCTTTGCTTTGCTGTTCCCTCTGCCTGGAATGCCCTTCCCAACTCCAGGTGCTGGAACAATCCTCTCTGTTCCCCAAGACCCAGCTCACATGCCACCCCAGCACCTGGACATCGCAGCTCCTCAGCCATAGGCCTTCCTTCCCCGTGTTGTGCCTTTTGTAATAGTGTGTCCCAGGCTCTGCCGTGTGTGATGGGACATCTGCCCCCAGTTACAGAGCTTGGCACATAGTGTGTGCTCAATCCATGTTTGGTCGATTGAACTTCTTCCACCCCTACTCCTTGGTCCCTGGCTCCACTGACTGCTAGCGGGACGTTCATCTGGCCATTATATCTGCTGTCCCCTGACAGTCACTGCTAGCTGTCCCTGCGTGAGCAAAGGCTTCCTGACCTCGTGGTTCAGCAAACACTCAGGGTTCCTGGAAAGCAACCAGTCACTGCTCTGACCCAGCGGGAGCTCATCTGGCCCGTTTCTCCAGATTGAAACCTTCCCTGTGTTAGGCCTGAGCTGGGACCACCGGGCAGAGTGCTGCTTGGAGGGTCTGAGCCTGGCCTCTCACCCTCGCCCCTTTATGGAGACTCGGCCATGCCAGGTGCACCTGTCAGGCAGCGCCCTCCTCTGCCTTTGGCAGGGGAAGGAGAACCTGAGGAAGAAGGGGCCTCAGCCAGCCTCTCGCCCATCCAGTCAGATGTATTCACCAATTACCACTGGTAAGCAATCCCTGGCCTTATCTGACTCTCCCACAGAGGGGATATCATGTGTGCCTGTTTCATTCTCTGGGGACACAGGTGTGGGGCCCTGGCGGGAGGCAGTGGCAGCCAGATGCCTAGGGACAGATATTTGGGTGAGCAGGGACAGGGTGACTGCTCCTGGCAAGTGATAAGCCTGAGTGAGTGGTGTCGCCAGCATCGTCTCCATTCACCAAATTGCCCACCCAATTTCTCACCTGGCGTCCCCAGGCCACTGCCAGAGCTCAGGGAGTCCTCACTCACTGGGCCCAGCCTCTGTCTCCTCATTTGTGAAGTGGACAAGGTCGCTATCCTTGAGTCGGTAGCACTCTGTAAGGTAAAGAATATCCCTCCCCTGTTCCCCTCATCCCCCCTTGCACCCAACCAAAATGCTCCTTGTCATGCTGTCCATTTTAAAAATCACATTTCATTTTGAGGGGTTCAGAAGAAGTGCCATTGCCTCCATTCAAAGGGCCTTCCCTGGGTGATGTAAGGGCTCTGCACTGCCGGGGCCAGGCCAGGCGGGGGTGGTGGGGTGGGAGGCTGGAGGTGGGGGGCTGGGCCAGCAGAAGTTGGGGACCCAGTCAGCTGCTGAGGTGAGGAATGTGAGATGTGCAAGAGATGTGGCGAGAGGGAAGTGAAATCATGAATATTTAGAAGCGGGGGAGAGTGGAATTCAATCTGACACTGATACACACACAGGAGGTTGGATTGATAGCAATAATCTAAAATTAGAAGCAGTCTGTCAGGGGCGTTTAGAGCTCAGGCCCTAGAGGCAGCCTGGGTTAAACACTCCGAATCTGCCACTTACCCGCTGAGTGGCCTTGGGCGGGGAACTCCACCTCTCTGTGCCCTCGACTTCCTCATCTGTAACACAGGGATAATGAAGTACTTCCTTTATGGTGTGGCGGTGAGGACTGAGTTCACCAGGCAGTGCGGGCACAGTGTGAGCTGGCTGCGTTTATAACTGAATGAAGGTCAGCATCACGTCCTTCCTAGATGCTATCGGGTTCCTTCCTTCTCCTGGCGCTCCTTTCCCTGCTTCCCAAATCCTCGGCCACCCTCCGTCCCCTTTTAGTTTGCTTTGGAGGGAAGGAGGGTGTGGTCCACCACTGTCCCACAGAAATCTAATGCAGAATGCATGAAATTTAAGACCTTCTAGAAGCCCCTCTCTAAAAGTAAAAATTAATGTTACTAACCTACATCACTTAACCCAATACATGTAAAATATTATCCTTTCAACATGTAATGAATAAAAAAATTGTGGAAGATATATATGTGTATATATTACCTCTTAATTACATGGATGGATGTATTACATCCATGTATATATTTTACATCCTAATCTTTGAAATCTAGTGCATATTTTATACCTACAGAATATCTTGAGTCAGGCACTAGATTGTCATCTGAAATACTTGATTGTATTTAGATTTCATTAAACTGACAGTTGAAAAGTAGCTCCACATACCTCAGTTGTTCCACACAACTTGATTCAGCTTTCCAATAACTGAAACCAGTATCAATTTTTAAATTAAAATACAGTAAGTATTCAGTTTTTCAGATGCACTGTCATCTTCACTTGTCAGCAAAGATCTAGAAGTAGCTGTGGGAAAAATGAAGCTTGAACAAATGCTACCTGTCTGTAGGCACCTCAGACACAAGGAACAGAGACCCTGACAACATCCTGAGCTTGTCCCTAGTGGTGGTAGGGATGGGTGGGGTGGGGTGAGGAATAGGTGCACTGAGAATTTTCTTTACTCCTTTGAGAACCAATGCATACCAGCACCCACCATCCTCCAGGTGCCAGAGATGCAGCATTAGTGCTCTGGACTGAATTGTGGTTAAAATCTATCTGCCACCTTCCAGTCTCTAACTTCCGGGGAGTGGTGGACTCTGAAATGTGACATCCCTGCCCTGACATTAGTCTGGTGCAGGAATCTGACTGCAGCGCCATTGTGTTAACATGGCAGGTGAGCGCCTGCTGTGGGCCAGGCACCATGATCTCAAGTGGGGTGCAGCTTGATGGGTGACCAGCACCTTTGGGTGGGTTGGAACCTCTAGCTCCCTATTGCTTCTGGCTGTGTTGGAAGCCTGTGGCTTCCCCGTGCCCACTGCACTGTGGCTTTCCCCTGACCCCATTCAACCGGACCCCCCCATTGCCCCTCCTGTCATATCCACCTGGTCACCATCCTCAGCATAAGCGTTGGGGTGTATTTTGGCTCCGGATCTTTGCTAATGACCTTCCCATTTATAATCCTCATCACTTATTCAGATCCTACCTGCTGTCAAGGTTCTCCTTCTCCAATCAGCCTCCGGCCCACGAGATCTCCTTTTCCTTGTATTCATAGCTATTACTGTGTTGGTGGTGAGCTTGGAGCTACATGGAGGGCAGGCAGCATTATTTAACGACTCACGTTCATGCTTTGTCTCACAGTGTCCCTGAGAGCTGGACTGCCTGTCATTCATTCTTCTATGAGTCCTACATTCACTCCCTTCCCACCCTCCTCTCCCTGCCCCTCTCAGCACCTGGACACACAGGAGGTTTTCAGGAAATACCTGCTGATGAACTGGTAGCCTAGCCAGGAGGTCAGCCCATGTCATAAGGCTTAGGAGCCCATTTCCCGGGCAATAACGTATCCACCAAGGATTTGCTCCTTCCACCATTATGTTCAAACAACACAGGCTACCGCTGAATCATTTGTGGGAAAAGAATTGCCCTGAAGCCAGCCTTCATTGACTTCTCTGACAGAGAGCTTTCTCTTTCTACTGATCTGATTGGAGAAAACAAAATGCTTTGCTCCCTCAATTAAGACTTTAGTCACGTATGGAAATGTTTTGCTATGGAGCAAATGAATGGTAACAGTAATAACAGTAGTGAGCATCACTCACATCATGGATCACTTTCCATTTGCCAGACACTGTGCCAAGTGCTTCACACATATCATTTCATTTCATTCCTACAACAACCCACTGAGGGAGGTACCACTAGGAAGCCTGGGGTGAGGGAAGGCGTCAAGTGCTCATGCTTTGGGAATGGGCAGCCTGGCACGCCATTGCCAACTGTGTGATTTTGGGAGAGTGTGCTAACCTCGCGGTAAATTCCTGTGAGGAATGGAGAGATGATGTATGCAAAGTGCTTAGAAATGCACGTTCTACTTTTTCAAAATATTTTAGCTGTTGTCATCATCAGCCCCCACTTTCTAGATGGGGACACTGAATTACAGAGAAATTAAGTCGGTTGCTCCAAGTCCCAGAGTTAGCGATACCTTAAGATTTAAACCCTGTCTGACCTCATCATCCTTGCTTGTAATCACGACACTACAATGAATACTTTGCCCCGGGTCCTGTGCTGGACAGTCGGCAACCAATGATCTCATTCAATCTTCCAAATAATTCTGTGAAATGAATTTATCTCCTGGGCAGGAAGGGGCCTGTCGGGGCTGCCAGCTGGAGCAGTATTCGAGGAGGATGGCCCTCCTGGGTAAGAGGGGGCTGCCCCACAGACCCATCCATGGAGTATTGGGCCAGAAGGGAAGGCTGCTGCCCTGGTGGGAAGGGCAGGTCTGGGGGTTACGTAAAAGGGGTGTCAAAGGAAAGCATTCATGTGAGGTCAGGGAAGTTTTCCTGGAATGGAAGTTCCACCTAAAACAGCTGCAAACTTGCTGAAAACAGGGTTGGTTTTTTTGTTTTTGTTTTGGGGGGTCTGTTTTGTTCACTTTTATGCTAGAACTCACACAGTTCCTGACATAGAGTAAGGGCTTAATAAATATTTACTGAATACATGGAAGGTGAGCTCAAGTTATGCTCCAGGCAGAGAAAACAGTGAGTGCGAAGGCCCAGAGGTACAAGCGAGGGGGCCATTGGGGGAGCACATGGATCAAGCCTCTTCTCAACCATGGCAAGCCGTGCTCTGTGGGGCTCCCTCTGGGTGGGGCTGGATATGAAGGCTCACGGGAGTCCAGTTGGCTAAGCAGGGTAGCAGTTCACTCCAGGGCCTGGGGTGAAGCCCTCGGAGCAATGAAGAGGACTACCCTTGCATCCTCAAGCACAGGTGGGATGATGGCAGGAGGCAGACAGACAGAGGAGAGCCCAGGCAGGTGGCACAGGAGCCAACCCCCAGCACCATAGATGCAATGTCAGAGAAAAGTTCAAGGAAATAGAGGAGGTGCTCACTGTAGAAGGTGACAGTGTCAAGTGAATGGGAAAGACGCGTTCTTCTTTAGGAGTGACACTGGTTAAGAGGAAATTCATCTCAGTAAGTGTTTCTTGATTGCTTATTGGAAAATGGTTACAGGTGGGAAGTTTTTGCAAAGCTCTCTGTACCTTCCTCCCCCTCTGCTCTTATATCTCTTCTTTGATTTATAAGCTGTGTCAGCTTAGATGCCAACTTCTCCAGGACACCTTCTAATCCTCAAGCCATTCCATCTCCCATCGCCCCACCTGCAGACCTCACACATCACAGGAAGCCCTTGTGCTTTATGCTGCAGAGAAAAATCTCTGTTAAAATACCGATGTCCACTAGCACAGCGCCAAAGGCCTGAGGCACATTTTGTTAATGTGAAAGAGAGATCTGCAGCTCAATTGTCATCAATTGCAAAATTATTGGATTAAATTAATATGTTGAATAATTTAGTCAAATGGTTCAAAACCCAAAAAATACACAAAGACATACAGTGAAGTCAGGCTCCCAACTTGGTCCCCTCTGTCATATGTATGCTCCTTGCCTCAAAAACTAAACCAAACTAGCTACCACTGTTATTAGTTTTTCATATGTTCTTCCAGAGACTTCTAGATATATATCAAGTACTATTTTTAAGATACAAATTATATCATTCCATATACACTGTCCTTCACTTTGCTTTTTAAAAAGCTTAGCAACAGATCCTTAGAATCTTTCTATATTTGTATATAAAGAGCTTCCTTGTTTTATTTTAAAGTTGTATAACATCATATTTTACAGAGACACTGCAATTTATTTAACCACTACTCTATTGGCGGGTGCTTAAGTATTTAAGTTGCTTCCAGTCTTGTGTTAGTCTACGCCAGTGATGGCGAACCTATGACATGCGTGTCAGAGGTGACATGCAAACTCATTTTTTTGGTTGATTTTTCTTTGTCAAATGGCATTTAAATATATAAAATAAATATCAAAAATATGTCTTTGTTTTACTATGGTTGCAAATATAAAAAAATTTCTATATGTGACACGGCACCAGAGTTAAGTTAGGGTTTTTCAAAATGCTGACACGCCGAGCTCAAAAGGTTCGCCATCACTGGTCTAAGCCGTACTGTAGTGAATAATCTGATATTTAGACAATAGTAAATGTGGTCCTAGAATTCATACTATAGAAATAATACCCCTTCACACACACACATACATACACTCCTTATAGTTTAGAAGGCATCTTTTTTAAAAATAACATTTTACTTTGAGATAGTCACAGATTCACACACAGTTGTAAGAAATAATTCAGAGATATCCCGTGTACTCCTCAACCAGTTTCCCATAACTGGTTACAAAACTATAGCATGATATCACAAGGAGGAAACTGACATTGATGCAATCCACTCACGTGGTTCAGATTTCACCAGTTTTACACGTGTGTATTGTGTGCACGCTCATGTATGCATTTAGTTCTGTGAAATTTTATCACCTGTGCAGGTTTGTGTATCCACCAGCAGAGTCAGGATAAGAAGTCCCAGTACCACAAGGATCCCTTCCTCTAGCCTTTTATAGCCACACCCACCTTCTCCTGGCTCACTGCCTCCTTCGCACCCTCACTCAGTCCCTAACCTCTGGCAACCTGGAAACTTTTGGCAATCTGTTCTAATTCTCTATGCTTTTGTCATTTCAAAATGCTACATAAATAGAATCATATGTCATATATGATACGCTTGGGACTGACTTTTTAAAATCAGCATAATCCCCTTGAGATGCATCCAGGTTGTTACATCTATCAATAGTTTTTCTTTTCTTTCTTTCTTTTTTTTTTTTTTTCTTGCTGAGCAGCATTGCAAGGTGTGGGTGGACTACAATTTGTTTAACCATTCGCTCATTGAAGGTATCTGGGTTGCTTATGGTGATCCTATATAATAAAAGGCTAATATGCAAATTGACCAAACAGCAGAACCACTGGTCGCTATGATGTGCACTGACCACCAGGGGGCAGATGCTCAACGCAGGAGCTGCCTCATGGTGGTCAGTGTGCTCCCACAGGGGGAGCGCTGCTCAGCCAGAAGCCAGGTTCATGACTGGTGAGCAGAGCGGCAATGGCAGGAGTCTCTCCCGCCTCCGCAGCAGCACTTAGGCCTGCTCCCCAGGGGGGAGCCGGCAGGCAGACATCCCCCAAGGGCTGCTGGACTGTGAGAGGGCACAGGCCAGGCGGAGGGACCTCCCCCCTGCCGAGTGCACGAATTTCATGCACCAGACCTCTAGTTGGCAAAGAAAAATAAAGCTGCTATGAACACTCCTGTACAGGTTTTTGTGTAAATTTAAGTGTCCATTTATCTGGAATAAATGCCAATGGTACAATTAATTGCTGGATTGTATGGTGTTTGCATGTTTTGTTTCATAGAAACTGCTGAACTTTTCCAGAATGGCTGTGCCATTTTTTATTTCTACCAGCAATGTATGAATAATTCACAACTTGCCAACATTTGCTGGTGTCACTATTTTTTTTTAAATTTTATCCTGATAGGTGTATGCATTTCTTTTTAAATTTCTCACCACAATCTTCCAGTTTTAAGTCTTCTGACTTTAAAGCCACTTGTCAGTAATAATAACAGTTGCCCTTTAGTGAGCCCATACTATACACCAGACCCTGTGAGGGGTATTTTATATACATTGTCCTATTTAATCATTTCCTTTATCCCTCAGCACAAATGTGAGGCAGGATAATGCCCTATCCTCCTTTCCCTTTGGCAATCACCATAGTGTTGTATCTATGAGGGGTTTTTTTTGGTGTTTTTTGCTTAATCCCTTCACCTTTCTTCACCCAGCCCCACCAGAGCCCAAGGTGAATGGCTGCGAACGAAATTTTGTGCATTGGCCCTTTAAGAAGGTGCCTGTGTCTCTAGCAGACTCCCATCTCTCCCTGGCAGATAGAATCCCCCTGACTTTCACAGCCAGATGTTATGTGGGTGCCTCTTCCTGGCAAGGGGTTGAGACCCCACACTTCTCTGGGGGAACCTTTGCAGCTAAGATATCCCTCTGGAATCTCAGCCACCACCAGTGGGAGTGGGCCCAGCCCTTCTCGCATCTCCGCCCCTCCTACCAGTCTCCATGTGGCTTCTTCCGTAACTCCTTGGTTATAAGACTTCTCTCCAGCTCGTCTTCGGTTGGTTGTTCAGGTTGATTGGTCTATATTCTAGGTGTAAGTCCAGGTTGGTCCAAGGAGGAGGTGAGTGGAACATCCACTCACTCCGCTGCTATCCTGTGTGCCCAGGACTCTGTTTCTTTACTTGGGCAATGGAGATGGCCCTTAAGGTCCCTTCTGGCTCAAACTTTCTGTGGAGGGGACATAATTAAAGAAGGTATTACCCACTGATGAAGGCAACATATTTACATGTATGACCCAACAACGGTGGGGACAATCAGGATGTGTCTGTGAAACTGGGAAGCCCAGGAGGGCAGGCATAAGAGAATTAGGAGGAGGTGGGTTTTGAGGATGCTCGTCTGTTATGGTCAGTATAAGGTGTTCTTTTGTTTGGCTAGTAGACTAGTGACACCCTAAAAGTCCCGAGTTCCTACAGCCCCGGTTTCCCATCCACCAGCAACACTCTGAGTTGATTTCTTGCAGGTTCTGTGGCCCAGCCGTTCACCGCCTGCCCCCCCGCCCCCGCCAGCGCAGCCTCTGGTGCGCACGTGGGCTGCAGCTCGCTCCCCCAGACTGGAGACACGTTTGGTTCCTGTAAGTAGCTTTGACAGAGCTCAGCAGTATTCCCTGGATGAAAGCTGTTTTCTTTTAAAAAGCAGATGTTGATGACAATAAAGTCTGAAGAGAAGACTGCAATATAAGTGGATTTTTAAATCACTTCTACTTAGAGGAATTCACAGGACATGTTTTAGAAAATATAGCCCCCTACATGATTCCTATTACTAGCCCCATTGATGAAAAGGCTCAAGCACATTTGGTTTAACATCCTTAATACAAAGGGGCACCTCAAAACACATTTCCAGATGAAAACCAATGTAGATTTTTTTCCTTTTCAATTAGACCTTACTTTCTGTCAATGGGCTCCCCTGTTACCTCTTTTTCCTTTTTAAAAATTCTCTTTCTATACAGCTGTCAGATTATAAAGTTGTACACCTGAAATTTATATAATATTATAAACCAATGTTGCCCTGATAACTTTAATTTTTAAAAAAATAAAATCCACTGTGAAAAAAAAGGGAAAAAAATCCTTGTGCAGATGAGCCCACAATTAAAATATTTAAAATGTTTTTTTTAAATATATTTTATTGATTTTTTACAGAGAGGAAGGGAGAGAGATAGAGAGTTAGAAACATCGATGAGAGAGAAACATCGATCAGCCGGCTCCTGCACATCTCCTACTGGGGATGTGCCCGCAACCCAGGTACATGCCCTCGACCGGAATCGAACCTGGGACCTTTCAGTCCGCAGGCCGACTCTCTATCCTCTGAGCCAAACCGGTTTCGGCTAAATATTTAAAATGTTAATTGGAGCCCTCGCTGGTTTGGCTCAGTGGTTAGAGTGTTGGCCTTCAGACTGAAGGTTCCTGGGTTTGATTCTGGTCAAGGGCATGTACCTTGGTTGCAGGCTTGATCCCCAGCCCTGGTCAGGGCACGTATGGGAGGCAACTAGTTGATGTGTCTCTCTCACATCGATGTTTCTCTCTCTGTATCTCTCCCCCTCCCTTTCACTCTCTCTAAAAATCAATGGAAAAATATCCCCAAGTGAGGATTAACAAACAAACCAAAAGAAATTAATTGGAAAAAAAAATTCTCTTTCCTTTATGAGACAAAAAAGGAGCAAAATTAAAAATAATTTTGTTAATAATATATTTATTTAAAAAAGGAAACACATTAATATGATCAAAAAATTTAAAAGACCAACAAAAAAATCAGCAAAAACCTTCTCTCCCACCCTACTCCATCCATTCAATTCCCCCTCCCAAAGGCAACCTGCATTATTGTTTTGTGTGCACCCTTGCAGAGGTATGTTACTCAAACACAAACACCCACCTATTGTTTTTCCCCCCTTTTTACCCATTATAGTCACACACTGCTCTATTGTTGTTTTTTTCATTTAATAATATATTCTGGGGAACATTCCTTTTCATTACATAAAGACATTCTTTTTTCAGCTGTATAGTATTTCACTGTAATTTATTTAGTAAGTCTCCTATGGATAGATATTTGGATTGCTTCCAATCTGTTGCTATTGCAAAAAGACTGCAAAGAAGTGCCTTATATATGAATAATTTCTCACATATGCTCGTATAATCATAGGATAAATGACTAGAAAAGGAATTTTAAGGTCAAAAGATATGGGCATTTGTAACTTTGGTGGGTTAAATTTTCATTTTAAAGTCGCCTATAATCCCTTCTCCCGTGTTAGTCATGCTAACATTTTTATTTATAATTTTCCAGAGTGGCTCATGGAACAAGCATTTACTGAGCCCCTAGGGGCTAAGTGTTCTGTTAGGCACTGGTTACAACACTAAACAAAACCAACTTAGGGAGGAGGCACGCGGTGGGTCCACTGCAGCCACTGATAGGAATTGCTTCATGGCACTTGGGTTTAAAAGGAGGACTCCACAAAAATCCCACCAAAGCTGGCTCTCAGCTCCACCCATGCCAAGGTCTGTACTAAGTCCAACATTAGTTGTTGGGGTCATTTCCTTTCCCATGGATTGTACCAAAATCCTGGGGTTTTTGTGGCCAGAAAATCGGAAGCAGCTCTCACATGCTCAGCCCACCGTCCCAGTCCCTGCAGTGCGCCTGTTCTGCCTGCTCACAGCCCCCGCTGCTCCCAGCAGCCCCGTGGCTCCCACCAGCTAGGCTTGCTTCAGAGTTGGAGGTACTGGGTTTTCAATCTCAGAGGAAATCCCTGCTCCCACTGCATTCTGTCCCTGGGAATTTACTCAGTCTCCCGGCACCACCCCCTCTGCCTTCCCCCCAGTTTCATTTTATTTCTTTCAATTACAGTTGACATTCAATATTATATAAGTTTCAGGTGTACAGAAAGTGGTTAGACATTTATATCACTGACAAAGTGATTCCCCCATACCCACCTGGCACCATACATAGTTATTACAATATTATTGACTGTATTCCCTCTGCTGGGCTTTACAGCCCAGGGGTTATTAGGAAACTATAGATTTGTACTTCTCAATCCTTTCACCGTTACCCAGCCCCCAGGCCCCCTCCCACCTGACAATCATCAGTTTGTTCTCTGTATCTACGAGTCTGTTTTTGTTTTGTTTGTTCATTTACTCTTTTATTTTATTTTTAAAAATACATGTATATTTTTATTGAAGGGAAAGGAGAGAGAGATAGAAACATCAGTGATGAAAGAGAATCATTGATCGGCTGACTCCTGCACGCCCCCCACTGGGGATTGAGCCCACAACCCGGGCATGTGCCCTTGACTGGAATCAAACCCAGGACCCTTCAGTCTGCAGGCCGATGCTCTATCCACTGAGCCAAACCAGCTAGGGCAATTTACTCTTTTTAAAGAAATCCAAAACACTAATTCAAAAAGACATATGCATCCCAGCATTATTTACAATAGCCAAGATATGGAAGCAACCTAAGTGTCCATCAGTAGACAGATGGATAAAAAAGGTGTAGTACATGTATACAGTAGAATATTACTTGGCCATAAAAAGGAATGAAATCTTACCATTTGTGACAACATGGATGGACCTAGAAGGTATTATGTGAAGTAAGGTAAGAGTCAGAGAAAGACAAATACCATATGGTTTTGCTCATATGTGGAACCCTCCACCATCTTTTCAAAACACCAGTTTCCAGTCCTTCTTTCCCTTGCCCAGTGCTAGCTGTATCCTCCAAAGCCCTCCAACACCTGGGAGAGGGGACTTTCCCACAACAGCCTAGATGCTGGGCCACGAAGGTTAAGCTGCTTTGAGAACTAGGGAGAGAGGAATCACATCTTCCTTCCTGAGGTTTCTCTATTTGTGGGAATAAAGCAAAAATTCATACATAAAGTCCCACTGCATAAATAAATAAATTACAATATAATTGCAAGCAGTGGCATGTCCTATGTTGCTCACTATTGCGTTCCCTGCACCTAGAAGAAGAGAGTCTGACGCACAGTAGGTGCTCAATAAAGATCTGCTGACTGAAAGAATAAAGTATTATGAAGAGAAAGAATGGGGAGAATGCCTGAGAGAGAACACTGGAGCCAGTAGTGACTGCTTCGGCCTGAGTGGTCAGAGACGTTTCTCTGAGAACATGATATGTCCACTGATCCTTGAGGATCCGAAGAAATCAGCTCTGGGAACTGTATGGGGAGGAGCCGGCCAGACCGAGGAGTGTGGAGGGCCCCGGAGGTGGAAGAGAGTCTGTGAAGTGAGCATAGAAAGAAGCCTTGGGCAGAGGCGGCACAAGGAGGTGACAGAGGAAGGTGGAAGGCGGTTATGGGGCACCTTCCAGGATGTTAAGGAGTGTAGAACTGATGCAAATTGTAATGATTTTGAGCAGGGGAATAAATGATTTTTTAGAATCTTTTTACCTTCTGAAAGGATCTCCCTGGAAGTTCAGCAGTGGGTAAGTAGGAAGATCCTTTGAGAGGTGTGGCCATCATAGCAAGACGAGACGAGCGGTGTGGGGAGGATGACTAAGTGCGGGCAGATTTAAGACATTTTAGAGGTAGACTTAGGTAAGACTTGATGATGGAGCCAATATAGGAGTCAAGAGAAAGAGGAACATTCTAAGAAGATTCTCAGGTTTTTACCTGGAAATTATTGTGGGCTGGGATTAATTGTGAGGTGAAGAGAGGACGTCAAGTAAGAGAGGCCGAGAGAGGCTGGGGAGAGTTTCTGTGCATAGATATCTGGTGTGGCGTTAAGAGTTGAGGAAAGTCTCAGACTGCCCAGGTTCTAGTCTCGTCTCTGCCATGTTGGCTATGGGATACTGGGCAAGTGCCTCCATTTCCTCATCTGGAAGGGAATAATAATAGCTACTATATTTTTATGAGGGTGAATTGACATAATCTGTATAAAATGCTTCTAATAGTGTTTTTACATAGTAAAGTACCTAATAAAAGTTAGCTATTTTTTTATTATCTACTTTGACATTGGTATTTAAAATGGATGACCAATATTTCATTTTATGAATAAATTATTTCCCCAGATCTCTAGTTGGATTGTTTCCAGCACTACAGTTTAGTAATAATAGCATAGTGGTTAAGAGCACAGACTCAGGAGCTAAACTGCCTGGGTTCTAATCCTGGCCCCAGCATTTGCTACATGTGTAACCATGGCAAGTTACCTGACCTCTATGTGCCTGGTTCTTCATCTCTTAAATGAGAATAACAATAGCACTACTTCAGAAGAGATCCTATAAGAATCAATTTATAGGGTATAGATCACTTAGAACATATTAAATACCATGTTTATCATTATGAGCCTTCTACTCTTTTACGCACATATGTGTGTTTCCTCATTTAATATTTATAACATCTCTATGTAGTAGGTATTATTATTATTATTA